CTGAGGAAGTGAGAGCAGGGTGAATGGGCAGATGCTTCTACCAGGGCTATGCTGATCTGGATAACCTGTCCTGCCACCCAGGCCCAGATGACATCCAAGCCTGGAACCATGTCTGGGTCTGTGGTCCTATCACAGTTGGGGTCTGTGTTGTCCATGTCCCACAGTGCCAGCAAAGGCCACACAAATGCCCAGGGACTAGGCGACCTCTTGTGGCCATTTTGGTGTTCAAGGCCATGCTGCCACTGGGGCCATGGTGTCCGCTGCAACAGGGCTGCTGATAAGAACCATGTCTGGGTCTGTAGCCTTACCACAGCCAGGGTCTGTGTTGATGTCCATGGCTCCTGATACCATTCAAGACAATAGTGATGTTAGGGGTCTGGGCTGTCACATGGGGCCATATTGGTGTCTGAGGGGCACACTTCCACAGGGGCCTTGTTGATCTCAGTAGCCTGTGCTACCACCTAGGGCCATGGTGATAATTGAGCCTGGCCTGCTGACAAGAACTATGTCTGGGTCTATCAGAGTTGAGGTCTCTGATGTCCATGGCACATGATGCCAACAAAGGCCACACAGATGCCCATCCTATGGCAATTTTGTTATCAAAGTAAATTGCTGCTAATGAGGCCATGGTGTCACCTGAGCCAGGGCTGTTGCTGAGGACCATATCTGGTTCTGTGGTCCTACAGCAGCCAAAGTCTGTGTTGATATCTGTGGCTCCTGACACCATCAAAAGCAGTGCTGATGCCAGGGGTCAGGGCCACCAGTAGTGGCCATGATTGATTCCTAGGGCCTTGCTGCCATTGGAACCATGCCAATGCAAGTGGAGGGCAGAGCCACATGGGAGCAGGCCTTGGCTGCTGCTGTGGATCAGGTCTGAGTCTAGGACCCAACACCAGCCAGGATCTATGGTGCTGCTCACAGCTTGTGTTGGCACATTGTGTGATAGGAACCAAGTGTTTTGAAATCCAATGCCATGCTGAGCCAGCTCTGTCCCTCCCTGAACCTAGCATAGCTGCCCCGTTCTATTAATTGACACTGGAGATCTGGCACTGTCTCCCCATGAGAGAGCTGACTCTAGCATTCAGGAGAAATTGCCCCAACACTCACCTCAGGCATGGGAGACCTGGCCCAAGTGGTCTTCACCTAGGAGTTCTGGCTCTGGCCCTTGCCTGAGTGTGTGACCCCAATGTCCCAAACCAACCAGCTCATCTACCACTCAGACCCACATTCTGGGCCCACACTAACAGCTGTCCCATCCATGACTTTCTGAAGTGCATCAAGGGCCTGGACCTTCCAAAGGATCACCACAGGATCTTCATAACTCAGTGCATAAACAGGATGTCCAAGAGAAGTTTCTGTGAGGGCCCAGTGATGAAGGTGAACCAGAAACCAGAGTCTGAAACCAGACTCATTGCAATGAACATATTGTGAATGGGGCTGATTGGACAAAAGGGGTGTACTGCATGACACACCACAGCTCCTGATGCCACTGGCATGAATGAAGAGGTGTTGGAAAGATGGTGGGGTGAGGTGGGTGTTATGTTTGTTTTCTTTGTTATAATAATAATTTGGGGGAGCAGACTGCAGGAGTCAAGGGTGGATATGGAGGGATTGTACATAAGCAGAATTGGGGTGCATGATGGGAATCTTCCAAAGAATCGAAAAAGAATTGTGTTTTAAAATAAGTAAGTAAATTAGCAGAAACCTCACCAAGTGTGTGTGATAAATACTGACTGCTTTGAGAGTGCAATGTTTTGGGGGTGCCTTATATTTGGTCATTCTTTTCATTCTGTAATTGGACATGTACTCATTATTTTCTGTTGTTGTTGTTGCTGCTGTTGAGTCAAATTCCTTCTTCATAGTGACAATAACATCTTCCCACAAAAAAAAATGTGAACATAAAGCACAATGGAGAATGTAGTGGTTAATAATAAAGGAAAATATCACATGGGGCTGAGAAAAATTAGAATATAGAGAGAGGTGAGGACCCAGACCTCACTGGGGGGGGAAATATGTTCCCCCACATTATGGAATGAAAAAATGGAGGAAAAAAATCTTCAAATCCACAGCAAGGTAGAATGGAAGACCTTTAATGTGGTGGTAGAAGAGCCAGCTGCCCCAATAGTCAGGTCTTTTTCTGCACCCCAAATAAATTTATTTCCTGCATTATTTCTCCGAAGTGATGTCCAATATTAAACATAGAATCTTCTGGTAAGTAACACAAGAGGTCCTCAAATTTACTTCCCAAACTTGGTCACCAGGCAAAGACTATGGCTGTTTCTCTTCTTCACTTCTAGGATGCATTCAAGGACCTTCTCTGGCTGTGGCAAGCCTCAAACAGCAAAATCCCAAGAACTAGGAAGATCAAGCCAGCCATGCCCAGCCGGATGAGGTTCTCCACTGTGTGATCCTGGGGCTGTGAGGCTGGAGATTGTGAACAGAGAGGTCAGGACCAACCAAAGCCACCATAAGATGCCTTACTTTCACTGTCAGAGCTCCCTCCCCTGTCTAGAACTTGACCTTCTGGTTCCATGCCCTAAGCAGAATTTTCCTTCCTCATCTGTCATGGCTTTTGACATATTTTGTGGTTGGCTGATTGTCTCAGGCACCCTGAGAAACAAAGATTTGCTGGGTATGTGCAGTGCTCAACAGAAGTGATTAATTTTGCCAAGTTTCATCTTCTTATTTTCTACAAATTCACATTATTCTCATGATATAACATTATGAAAATATTGAAAGAACTCTTTCTCTGCAGTAGCAGCTTCCTCCTGTTCTTTGGCCTGATTTCTTCAGCCTGACTATTCCTGGAGATCAGAACAGCTGGTCAAGGCTCTTCTTTGAAACAAGAGTTTATCTGATTACAGAGAGCTCAAATGGAAAAATGTCATTTCTGCCTTCACGGGATAGGGGCCTTCCTTGCTCCCTGCCCAGTCTGCAGTATAGAAGTCTGGAGGATATTAGCCCCGCATAATAGTAACCTGCACTGATTCAACAGCTGAGAACCCAAGATCTACCCACATGGTCTTATTCTCAGGGTACCCTGAATATCAGGTGGTCAAAATGGTAACAGTCTGGGCTTCTCTTCCTGCACTCACCCCACAAGGTTGCCATGATGCTTCTGTTTAACATCTAACTCTCTAATCATCACATTGTTGTTAATGCAAACAATGCAATAAAAAAGACATAAACATATGCTTACAATGTACATGAATGCAGATATGTTCTAACAAGTACTGAACCTAAATCATCAAAGAATAGGCCAGTATTAAGAAAGTAAATTTTATTTTTTAAATTAATCAACACTTGCACCCATATCTAGAGAGGCTATATGGACTCTAAAAGAGAAATGAGTACTGCCAAGTTTCTAGACCAATATAATTTCTAACTTCATTCTAAATGCTTATCCTTATACCCACAGGTAAGTGTAGCTCTCAACCCTCATCTGAAAAGCTTATTTCACAAGAGATGGGGAGAAATCATAGAGATCCCCAACTATCCAGAGAGTTACAGGCCTCTGACCACACATGAGGGTTATTTATATAGTATCTATAACAACTGGAGGGCTCATTCTTGCTGGATGCCACAAAGATCTCCAAAACTGGTCAAAATGGGAATAAGTGGAGTAGGTGTTCCCTGTCCAAACAGACACTTTTATTTGTTTTTCAAGACAAGGTTTCTCTGGGCAGCGCTTGCTGTCCTGGAATTCACTTTGTAGACCAGGCTGGCCTTGAACTCAGAGATCCACCTGTCTCTGCCTCCAAAGTGCTGCAATAAAAGTCTTGTGCTACCACTGCCTGGCCAAAATGGATACTTTTAAAACACAAATATTATACCTAAGATTTAAGAAACATTAAGGAAGTCATCCAGGTGGCTCTTGTAATACATTTCATATCACCTCTTGCTCTGAAACTGCCAAGGCCTCTCATAGTCTGGGCCTTAGTAGTCAAGAGCTCCCTTCAGCAGTTATGGCTTTGAACTCTCTTTGAGGAAAAATGGCTTATGACAAAGGATTTCTGATGTCAGTTGAGTGAATGAGCAGACTTCCTCACCTGAGAAATGTAGCTCCAAAGTGTCACTGGCCTCTGACCACACATGTGAAGTATTTGTATAGTATCCACAACATCTAAAAGGACCACTCTTGCTGGCTGCCATGGAGATCACAGGAAACAGAGCCTGGGACTGTCCAGTGTGTAATAACTGTGCCATTTGGGACCTGGAGAACTTCAGATCTTCCCCAGTCAAAATGAACCCATTGTATCCTTTGGATGAGACACACTGAAGGGTCACATTTCCACCTGAGATCACTACAGGGCTGGGAAAAGCTGACAGAGTGGGTTTACCATGGTGGACACCTAGAAAAAGAGGACAGAACCTGTTAAATGATATATTGTCTGCAGCAGCTGGGCTATGGCTGAAAATGTTTAGAGATGTATTTCCTGAGGGCAATGTTGAGGGTATAATGTATTCATGCTCACAAATAATATGGGAGAAAACACAAATGTTACTCATGTAGTATGTCTGCTCAATGGAGGAGATAAATACCTGTTTTCTATCAAGAAAGCTGGGAGTGGATGTTGTTAATACCCAGGTGACCTTTCCATTTGTAGATCCAAACCTCACCTGAATCCCCTAGGATGTTTATCGCAGACTCTCCTCCCTAGAACTTTATCAGTGGCATTCAGTAAATAAAGCCCATCCTTTGGGGAGATGTAACGTATACTTTTTTAGCCTGCTTATATTGGTATTACCTCAGTCAGAGACAACACCAGATCAAAGGCCCTTAAGATATAAAATCAATCTTCACGATCAAATGTACTCTGATTTGAGTTTTGATGTAATTATGCCTAGTTGTTCATTAGGGTTTCGATTACACCAGTAATCTTTTTGTTTTTTCTTTCAGAATTGTCTATGTTTAAAATTGCTTGCAATAAGTGACCCGGTTTCAGACTTTTAAGAGTGTGAACTGGCAACTACTATGTCAGCCTGATCTGAGGTTTCCTTGTTACTTCATGTGCGTCATTTCCCTGCAAGCAGCAAAGCTTTCAACAGCCCCCACAGGAAAAGGTGAGGACTGTGACCCATAGTGTCCTCTCACCTGTCATCACCAGCTCCAGGGGGTCACTGCGCTCTGTCCCCCCGGTAGATTTGTAAGAGTAACAGCGATATTGCCCTGCATGCTGCTTTTCCATGGATGCTATGAAGAACATGGCCTTGTTACCAGGACCTTTGGGAGTTTGACTGTCCCAGGGTGCTGAGCTTCCTTCTTTATACAGGAAATATATTCTGGATTCCTTGGTCCCCTCACACCAAATGGTCACATCACTCCCAGAGGCAATCACAGAGCTTGGTGCAGCCCACAAGGTTGGTTTTTGAAGGTTCCCTGCAAGGAAGTAGGTGAGAAGTAGATGGGACTTTGAACAGTTTCACAGTAAATGTCAAGCGTACTTCTGATCTTGAACTTTACTCCTTAATAGCAAAAGGATAAGTAAGGCTATGGGAAGACTCAGTCTCTCGTGACCCTCCCAAGATCCATACTCACTATGCCTTTCCCTCGTTTTTATGCCATGACTCCCACAGTCTGCATGCAGTGTCAATTGTCTCAGGAGCCCTGGATCCTCAGACACATCACACAACATGGTTTCCCTCAGGACCATGTGTCAGGAGCAATGTTTCTGCAGAGAGTCTGGAGGCTTCCTCACCTGAGACCAGGAGCTCCAGGGGTTCACTGGCTTTAGACCACACCTGAGCATTTCTTGTGTTATAGACATGCCATCTAAATCTCCACCTTTGGTTGGAAGTCACTGGACCCACTTGGAATGTGGACTGGCAAGTCCTAATATATGAATATTGTGAGCTGCTGAATTTCTGGTCGTCCTTAGTTAAAATGAAACAGTTGTATCTCTGAGTTAAGGTACAAGGCAGGGTTACAGACCCTCCTAAAGAAATAACAGGGTTATGCAGGGTTGACAAAGTTGGTTTGGATTAGATACCTAGAAGAAGTACACATGGAATATTAAAGTGGCTCACACCGAATGAATTCTCCCCATGTCTGTCATTTGATGACAGATAGCATTATTACTGTCTTTTCTTGAGCATAACATCTGGGGCTAATATTTTTGAGTGTCCTCTCACCTGTCACCACCAGCTCTAAGTTGTCACTGAGCTCTGACCATCCCTCAGAGGTATAAGAGTGACAGTGATGGTGCCCTGCATTCAGTTCAGTCATAGATGGAATGGTGAGTTTTGTCTTATTCTTGTGGACTCTTTGGATTTGTGGTCCCAGGGCTCTGGGCTTCCCTCTTTATATATAACATACATTAGGTTTTCTAGAGTCACCACACACCAAAGCGTAACAGGACTCCCTAAGGTGATCACAGAGCTAGGATAAGCCCAGAAAGTGGGTTTGTAAAGGGTCCCTGCAAAGAATGAGAGGGAAAAGAGAGATGTATCTGTTAGGAGAAGTGCACAGAGAAGGTCAGATTTGCCAGTGACATGTAAGCTGATCTGCAATTGCAGAAGAATGCTTAAAGACCTCACTTTTCCTTGGATTGTGGGTCCCATTGTTAAATAAACCCTAGATTTTGCACCTCAATTCAAGCTGTACCACAGATCTGTGACACTGATTTCAGTAACCCAGGCTCTTGATCAGCAACCATACATCAGTCCTTTCCTGGGATCCTGTGTCAGTTACAATATCATGTAAATTAAAGTTCTGCACTTCCTAGTTGCTTCAGTGTGGTTGTGCAGCCGGTCACGTCCCGTGCGTGGTCACTCCGCAAAGATGCCTGAGGAAACCCAGACCCAAGACCAACCCATGGAGGAGGAGGAGGTCGAGACTTTCGCCTTTCAGGCAGAAATCGCCCAGTTGATGTCCTTGATCATCAATACTTTCTATTCAAACAAAGAGATCTTTCTGAGGGAGCTGATTTCAAATTCATCAGAT